GTATTCAGCATATCACAGTTAGAGTTGAATAATACACTTCTGTTATTTCATTTTATTGCATACTTTTGGGGCGCCACGTTTAATGCACATTCACTTTATAAAATAATTTTTGCTTGAAAGACCTCTTCGTAGTCGCTCTAGTTGGGTCATTCCTATGCTTCCTTTGCCTGCTGCGCGCGCCTTTGTACTTTTTGTCCTGGCCATGAATCTGTCGCCATCCGTGCCGACCAAAGTAAGTGGGACGCGGATTGCCAAACATAATCGCGGCGGGTCCTTCTTGAGACAGTGTCTGGGTAGGTCCACTTACATTCTGTGGAAACAAGAATTATGGAAAGTAGTTGCAAGTGACTGTCAACGACTGCAACTACACACCTCTACAGAGTTCCGCTGGTTGCTCGCAATGAGCAGGAAATATCCACTCAATAGAGCAAATATCAAGCAAACGCGCCACATTGGGCCTTATTTTTCCTATATATTTTATGGCGATCCGTCAGCTTATGCGTGCACTAAGTTCAAGTGTTACATGGAGAATGTTCATTTGTTATTGTTGACTTCAGAATCGACAGTTATTTGAGCCGCAGAGTAGATAATCAAGTGTCTTTGCAGTGTATACACTGATTATACCCTATATCCGCTGACGCAAGTTGGATTATCTATTGAATAGCGCCTGCCAAAAGACTTGAGAGTTAATTTGTTTTAAAATATGTTTTTATTTTGTAGCAAGCTAGAGTCTGAGTTCTGGGGCTCAGAAATTGAACATATTTTCGAATAAATATTGAAGACAGGCCCGTATCCCAGAGTAGGATAAAATAAATAGATGCTAATGTTTTTTAAAAAAAAAACCTGATCTAAAAAGTTCCAAGCCCCGGACTCTTAAATTTTTACCAATTTAAAAACCTCTTTAGTCGCTTTCACTTATGAAGCAAGTGTATTGAAGCATCGGTTTTATTATGTGTGCTATTTTTTATGCTTTCCGTTCGGTTCATGAGAGGCAAAACGCCTTTACTCCGATAAGAACTCATATTCTCTGTCCGAGTTGCCGTCGCATGCCTTTTTGCCCGCCCACTTGGCACTAATTCTGTTTTTATTTTTTCTGTAATTCGATTGAGAATCCATTAACTAATGAAACCGATCTGCCGCACACATTTCGCTATATTTCCTTTTTTCACATTCTAATTTCATTGAATTTCCACAACAATTTCGCCCAAATGCTGTGTGAGTTACCCTTGCTCTTACCCCTGTTGCCCCTGGTGTGCATTTGCTTGTCATGCAAAGCATTTGATGGCTGTATCCTGTGTACCGAATGTCCTGTATTGTCCCGTCCTGTGACATTTAATGGCATGTCAACGTCTGTCGCATTTATTGATATGAGCAGCGCGACATTAACAAATCGATAAACTTTTATCGTTATGCATTTGGGTGCTCAGCTGCAAATAAATAGAAAACCAATTGCCAAGGACATAAAAAGTACGAAACATATAATAAAGCCAGCTCGAAGCGTTTACAGTCAACGGTTCTGCACCTGTAGAGCTGGCTCATGCCATATGGCTAATTTTATGGAGTCTACCTTTTAATTTTCCAATTTTGTCCAAACAAACTTTTTACACAAAAGCCGCAGCGGCAAAAACGTTAGGTAACTCAATTATCAAATGGGGGGTGGCTCAGACTTATAAATTGATTAGACGACCTTTTGTCGTGCATAAATACAAATTGGCTTTATTGGCAACTGCGTGGGCGTGGCATCTGTACTTTTCCCTCTATTGTACTATAAGCGAATCAGTTGCTTGCCCTTAATGCATACATTTTTTCAGTTTCTCCTCATTTTCCAGTTTTTGCGGTAAGCGCTGGCTTCTAAATTGTTGTGTGGTACTCAAAGCGGCAGATGGCCTAAAATGTCACTCATTTAATAACTTTTAGTTAATTATCTTTATATCCATATGTTTCATCGAATCACAAATCAGTCTATATATTTTTATCTCTCAATTTTCTTTCTATATATTTTCGTATCGCCATCAAAAACGCTTTAGTCACCAATTTGTAGACACATGATTCCGATAATAGAGAAATATAATATTTATTAGTTCAAAGACCGCAGCTTGCCTGCTAAAGCTTACATGCATTAGTTACAATCGCGAGAGTAGAGCAATATTTATAAATGCGATTTGCGCTCAGTTTCAGCCAGCTCACATACGCATATATTTAAATACAAATACATAGAAACTAAAATGCATAAATACGATTTTAATCGTAGCTACTTTTAAATACAATAAGACATTGTTTCGCTTTCAATACGTACTAGTTTTTCAGTAGCCTCCGTCAAAGCCATTGTCACTGCCTCCTCCATATTTGAGTCCGCTTCTTCCTTAATTGAAGCTGCCGTCTTCTCCATTGTTTAAGTCGCCGCTGCCTCGTCCTTTGCTTAAGTCGCCGTTACCTTCATACTTAATTTGCCGTCTCCTCCAATATTTAAGCCGCCTCCCCCTCCTTAAATTAAGCCGCTTCCTCTTATATTAAAGCCGTCGTCCCCTCCTCTTGAATAAAGCCCATGAAACTTACTAGAAGTCATCGAATTTTTTTAACTGTTCCTTTAACTACATACTTACTACATAATACATACATCAATAATTACATACATACATAGCCACGTGCATAAACCCATTCACACATATATACATACAACTATGCATTCACATACATTCATACATACATACATAGATACATATATACGTTAATGCATACAGACATACAGCTGTGAAAAAAAAGTAGCACCACAAAAATAAATGTGTTGTATTTATTTTTTAATGAAAAAAAAACTCTATTACTGTTCCGTTTTTTTTTTTTTAAATTTGATTTTTTTTATATTGTTTAGTATTCCCCATAAACAAAAACAGTGTTAGCGTTCTTCAAATTTCTGTCTATATTTTTTTTGGGGATTTTAAGAAATGTGCTTCCAGTTTCCTTACTGTTAAAAATGTGGGTGTGGCAACTATTTAAAAATTGCTCGTGGTAGTGGTGCTATTATTTTTTTCTCAAACAAACATACATACATACATACATGCATGCATACATACATACATACATACATGCATGCATACATACATAATTAATTACATACATACATACATACATACATACATACATACATACACACATACATACACACATACATACACATAGACATACGTACATTCATACACAGAAACATATGTACTCCCCAGTCTTGCCCCTGGCATGTTTTATGCGTAAAATGTTAGATATAACTTTTTTCATCCAGGTCCCGCCCGTGGAAAGCTTAATCTTAAGTTAAATTTTACAGAGATATTTGAAAAAAGGTTTAAAATCAATCGAATTAAGAACCCAAATTGGATCAACTCTTTCCGTCCATGTTAACCAAACTGTTTTATATAGAAAATGATAATATTAATATACATCTGTCAATAATTTAAAAGGTGTTAATTTTTCATTTCAACTTCATTGATAGTTTTCAATGTCAAAAATGTTTGCCAATTTATTTGCATTCATATAATATTTATTTATGTTTACATCTATATACATATCTATGTAGTTCAAGGTTAACCAAAAATCCGCAAAGCTTCGTAATGAGCAGCGCAAACAGCGATAGCAGTAGCAGCAGCAGCAACAACAACAACAAATAAAGCAAGAGTGTCGCGCTGTCTTCTTCTGCCTGATAAACATCATCATGAATATTAATGCGACATATCAGACACACCTACACACAAACTTAAGCATGTACAGCATTAACATTAACATTAACATCAACAACAACATTAACATTAACGGCAGCAGTAGCAGGCACAGCAGCAACCCGTCAAAGAGTCAAGTTCACTTTCACTACGCTGACGCACACTTCATCATCATCATCAGCAGCAGCAACAACAACAACACCAATAACAACAACAACAACATGATGATCGTCAGCATTCAGAGTTGGCCAGATACCAATTTTGGTCAGTGGCACAGTTCGAATCACAGCGGCTAACCCAACTGTGCATACAAATGCCTTGCTCTGTCTGTGGCTATTTTTGGCCAACTCGGCTGGGCCTGATGAATGGCATCGATTTGAATTTGGGCAGTTGGCTTTAGCTTATCTTTTGGCCTGGCCCGCGCCCGAGCACGACTCTTCTTCATTTGGTCTGCATTGCATCACTGTTCACGCTCAAAATTGGCCGCAGCAGAGCCAGCGTTGAGCCAACGTTGAGCCAGGTCTGGAGTGCACACGAATGACGAGTGAAAGCAAAGTGTGGCAATCAATGACGACATCAATAGACGATCAACAAAAAAAAAATCGATATAAAACAAAACATGCGAGAAGAAGCTTGTACTATAGGATGACGAAGTTCGAATACCTTATAATATTTTTAATTTTCTTTTTAAAGCGAATTTTCCTATTTTTCTTGTTCCAATTTTTATTTATACAAGAAATAAATTTGAAAGGATAATGCTGTCATGCTATATGATATAATGACTCAACTTGGACATAAGTTTATATACAGCAAAAAGAACAATCTCTCCTTTAGACAGACAGACACGAATATATCGACTGGACTGCTCACACTGATCAAGAATATATATGCAGTGAATGTAATGTTTGTTACGGGTAATGCTTGTCCGCTAAAATAAAAAATCCGCTAATACAGGTGACAATGGTAATTGATATGACCTGATTTCCAATGTGATTCCTGATGTCCTGATTCTTAATGTCTGTCCAAGAGTTATGTCCGCCTTGTAGGAGTGTCCGTTATAGACTGGGATATGCCTGATTATATGCGTTACATATTTCACTAAAAAATGATAGCATGCTATGGTTGGGTATACGAAAACTGCAATATCAAGTTAAACCAGCTCCAGCAGGGATGTAAAAAGTGAAACAGCTGACTGGCTGTCTGTATAACTGTCTAGCTGGCTGTCCAGCTGCCCATCCAGCTGTCTGTCCAGCTGTCTGTTGGCCATTTTCTTAACGTTTCGCCTCTTCCCAATAGACCCACCTCGCTGGCTCAAGGGCACGCGTTGCTTACTAAGTGCGAGTAACCAACGGGTAAGAAAATAAACTCTTCTATGTTGTAATTTGTTTATTTTTTTAATATTTAATGTTTTGGCAGCGAAGCTCCGCGCGATGAGTCATCTTTGAGGCAGCCACAAATCAAGCTCGAGCTGCAGCTGGAGCTGAGCCAAGGCCAGTTAAGGTCTTGAAACTTTTCTGGCATTTGATTAATTGGAAACGCGCTAGTGTGTGTAAATATTTTAATAGCTTATTTAAATAGAAACATGTTTTTCAGACTTTTGTTATTTCAGACAGGCATACACCTACACACTCACACATACACGCACACACACAGTAATTTACTGTTAGATAATTAGCAAAATATGTACAAATATTTAGAGACAGTTCCGTGGATTGCACGCCCCGGCGCCCAGCCCCTTTAACTAGGCGCCAACTGTTATTGGGTATCTGAAATGTCTCCAAAACCAAAAATGACGTCAACGCTCCACATATCTTTCTCTCTCTCTCTCAAGCCGTAGGCTTGATAATGCTCTCGATCCAGCTAATATAGCTCAAGACAGACGTATAAACTCCAGGCCCGGCACCACATTGCGTAAATCCGTAGCTAACAATGCCGTAGGCCACCCAGCGGGAATGCTGGCGATCGAAGAACATGAGCGGACCACCGCTGTCGCCGGCACACGTATCCTTAGCCTTCTCGCCGCCGGCGCACAGCTGCTTGGGGCCAAGACGCACACCGTACAGATCCAGCATCTTGCTGCAGTTCTCGCTGGACACATAGGGTATGCGTAGCTTCAGTTTAATGGGACTGTGCGTGTTGATAAAGTACTTGTTGACTGAAAGAAAACATAAAAAACAGTAAATCAGGTAGTTCCATTTGATGCCAGGCCACACTTACAGAGATCGGTGCGTCCCCAGCCGGAAACGGAGAACATTTGGCCCTCAATGAGCGGCGTCTGGGCGCTTTGATTGGGCAGGCATATGGGCATGATGAAGTGCGTGAAACTAACCGGATGCTTCAAACGAATTATGGCTATATCGTTATACTTGTGACTGGAGTACTCCTTGTATTCCGGATGCACGTGTATGTGCTCGTATGCAATATCTAGTGCCGCGTCAGCGCAGCTCAAATAGTTGGGCTCCTCAATGCAGTCCGGCTCTGTCTTGACATTAAACTCACCCAGACGCACGTGCTTTCTAGAAGTAGAAATTAACCAATTTAATAGAAGCAATATGAAACAGGCTCAACAGACTTACAAGCCGCGTCGCTCGCGCACGCCCTCGCCTTGGACACAGTGGGCGGCAGTCAGAATGTGACGATCGTCGATCAGAGCGCCGCTGCAACCGTAGTCATCTGTGGGTAAAAAAAATTTCTTTATTACTATTTTTAAACTTCCGAAATAATCTTTAAATATCTAAAATAACATGGCCTCGGTTGAGCTTCGTTCTATTTATAAACTCCACAAAAATTATACCTATATATATAAACTAAAAACGGATATATTCATAGATATATAGATTATACAAATGTTGGTCAAATATTTAAAACTTGCTGAAGTCTTGAAAATATTAACAAAATGAATATGTTATTTTTAAATTAATTAATATTATAGTGGCTTAAAAATATTTTAAAAGGATTAAAAGGATTTCTTGGTGTATATAAATAGTTGTAGACCTATTTTTAATTTATATACGATTTTTAATTTTCTGGTTTTAGGATTAGTTCTGGATTTGATTATTATTAAAACACAATCTATCCTACTTGTTTCTTAAAGTCTTAATAATGTCACTTCAAGACAGCATGTTTCCTTTTAAGTATACTATGTATATAGTATAAGAACTGCTATTTTAAATAAGTAATAAGAATCCTTAAAGGTTCAAAGAACAATGTCTCCGAGATTTGCTTTGAAGTTGAAAAACAAGTGAAGAAATGTCTTCAGTTTTTATTGTGAGGCTCCACTCAATATGCCACATAAATGCAAATAGAGCTCATTACTTACTCGAATGATAGACCAGCAATGCCAGCCAGGGATATTCGTCCAATTCAGCAATTTCGCCGCCATAGATGCGATTTGTGACCTGTTTGCCGCACTCGTTCAACAGATTAAATCCCGTGCTGGGCTCGACGGTCTGGATGCGTCGCTTAAGCTTCTTCCGCTTGAAGCGCGCGGTGACATCCAGAAAGCGACGATACTCGAACTTGGAGAACTGTATGACCGGGTAGAGATAATCCTGGCCATTTGCCGGACAGCAGACAAGCGGTTTGTACGAGGACTCATTCGAATCGTCATCTACAGCTTCAGTAGCAGCAGCATTTGCTGCTAACGTTGCGTTTTCAGTTTCCGTTGCCGTTGATGTTGTCTCCACCTCGCACTGCACCTTCTTCAGAAAGTTGACGCGCTCCGAACTTAAGTTGGTCACATTGCGCACCTGCAAATATGCGGCGCATTGGCTCACCGGCACGCAGACGCCACGCTTTGTCTCGTTGGGTATATCGCAGGCCTGGCGCGCCAGCTCTGGCTGAGCATTGGCTGCGCCGACGAGCAGGGCAAGGGCGCTGGCAGCCCACAATGCGCCGTTCTTTGGGTACGGGGACATCAGCGATCGGCTGAATTCAAGTCAAACAATGCGATTTCCAATAGATTGCGAACAGGCCTCAAGCTGCAAACAATGTGTGACAACAAAAAGCGGGGCCAATGGGGCAACGCGGCGTATACGCAATCGCCAACGCGTGCACTGGCAAAGAGCAAATGTAGCGAATGTCACGAATGTCGCGTATGTCGTATGTCGTTTGTCGAGCGGCTGAATGAAAACGCACACAAAAGTGAATCCGCTCGCGTGAACGCTCGGCCGTGTATTAAAATCGAATTTGAATGCTGCGCGCAACGGCTTCAGCCGCAGTCGCAGCCACAGCCGCAACCGAAACCGAAACCTCAACCACGACTCGGAAGAGCCGAAGCTCGGAGTGCCAAAAAATAAAATCAAATAAAATATAAATAAATAAACGACAGCAGCAACTGTTTAAGACCGCCGTCACCGCCCCCGCAGCTTGTGACACCAAAACGAGCCCAAAACTGCAATCGCCGTCAACGAAACGGGGGCAACGGTCAGGCGTTGTTGTTTTTGTTTTTGCTGCTGCCCGCTCGCTAACTGGTACCCGGGTCCGGTTATGCAATCAGCTCTCAGCTGTGCAGCCAGTACGTGTTTTTTTCTGGTTTCACTTTCATTCGTGGCTTGAACTGTGCCTTTGCATTGCCTACTTTTAGGAGGAGCTTTTTTATACCCTGAACCCATTACAAATAGGAATAAGGGTATATTGTATTTGTGCAAAATCCAAATGTATGTAACAGGAAGGAAGCTTCTCCGACCCCATAAAGTACATATATTCTTGATCAGCATCAATAGCCGAGTCGATCTAGCCATGTCCGTCTGTCTGTCCGTCCGTCCATATGTATGAGCAAAGGATCTCAGAACCTATAAGAGCTAGAGACTTGAAATTTTAGATGTAGATGCTCCAAGTTCCCGCGCAGATCGACTTTGCTTCCGATAATCGATAACTTAGTCCGTTTCCAAGCAATCGATAAAAATCGATATCGACTTCCTGTTTATTGGGCAATTTTGGTAAATAATAAGAGCTAGAGACACCAAACTTGACATATAGCTTCTAAAATAGAATATATATATATATATATATATTTGATGTTGGAATGAGAGGGTTCAGGGTATCCCCTAGTCGGGAGCTCCCGACTAGAACGTCTGGCTAGATCGACTTGGCTATTGATGCTGATCAAGAATATATATACTTTATGGGGTCGGAGATGCTTCCTTCTGCCTGTTACATACATTTGGCTTTCGCAAAAATACAATATACCCTTGTACCCATTTTTAATGGGTTCAGGGTATAAAAAGAACCTATAAATATCGATTCCTCTAGCTCATGTAAGTCCTATTCGAACAAAAGCGTAGCGAACGGTTTGAGCGTTTGATATGTCTATCGAAAATATCGATGAGAATTAAAAGAGTGCAGCTATCCATAGAAGAAAAAATTGAATCAATTTAAAAGTAAATAAATAGTAATGCAAATAAAAAATTTAGAAGAAATTAAATTTAAATTTGTAATATAAAATCTCACACACCTCGGTCTCACAGACAATGACTCATAAGCGGTATCCGTGCTCAAACCTTAGGGTACGGATGTTATGATGGTTTACTTTAATCAATTAATTCAATTTCAGCTTGTATCATAGATTACGAGTGCAAAGATTGGATCGGAAAATCCAACACATTTGACTTAAGCTGATAATTAAAGTGTCCCTGCTGCCGATGAGATACGGCGCGTGTGAAAACTCTATCTGAGTAAGTGTCAAGGTTTTTTTATTGATTGTCGTCTTTTATGCGATAAATTATTCTTTGTTTAATCAATTTTATAAAATATAATAAAAATAATATTTCATAATGAATTCAGTTTTGACCATCAAGAGGTTGTTTGATGAATTTGAGTTTTAAAAATCGTATGAAAAATTATGTTTATAGTTTGCATATCAAAAGTTATTTTCTTTCAAGCTTAAAAGATATGATTACCATTATAATAAAAATATTAATATTATAAATTATGATTATAATAATAATAATTATTATTAATTTAGGTATTAGGTATTATTATTATTGTTCATTATAATTACTATTAAACAAATTCATTATAATAAGATATAAAAAGTAATTATTTTCGATTATAATTAAGTTTTGTGCAGGATATAAACATTTATAACAAAAACCTAAAAAGCTATCATTTTTATTTCTATTAATTTTTGAGTAGAATAACCGATTAACCCTACTATGTAATTGCCCTAGACTACTCCTAAGACTCCCTTTTGAGAAATCGCTCCAATAATAACTAGCCTGAGATTGGAATGCGGCATCCTCGCCTGGAGTAAACTGTCAAGCTGTGAAATCTAAGTTAACAGGAGTTGTCTTGCTTGAATTACAGACTACAGATAGGATAAGATTACTCGTATTACAACAATGGAAAGAATTGCAATATGTGTGTGATGAAATAAAGTGACAACTGTCATGATTTAACTACCAAGCGACATATTCATAGGCAATATTTAGCATGGAAACGAGACGCAACCGCAAAGCTTTGGCCAAAGTCCAAGAACAACAGACCTACAGACCAGGTGGGACAGGCAGCGGCTGCTGTTGTCGTGGCCAGTTGTTACCGGAAGTTTTCTTGTGGCTTATGTTTATGCGGTGGCCAATTAAAGCGCGGTGGCAATGTCAATGGCTGGCGATTGTTTTGGAAAATCCAAAGGTTTTTCAAAAGGCAGTTCATTCACTTTGTGTGCATTGTCTCTAAAATACATATATTATTTATATATTTATTGGCTAACACCTATGTCTAGTTGTTAAATTAATATGTTATTGATATTCATATAAACGAGTATGTAGGCAAGATCACAATTCGAGCTTCAGTTTAAAGCTAGGCTAAAGAGCTGCGCTTAGGCTCTCACATTCTGCTTTATCCAAATGTCGTAGGCGGCGACGCTTGTGTAAACACCAGGCCAGTCCTTGAGGCCGCACTTGTAGCCAAAGGACACAATCCCCTCCAGCACCCAGGCATTGTCGCGGAAACGCATCAGCGGTCCGCCGGAGTCACCGTCGCAGCTATCCTGCGCATATTTGCCGCCCGCACACATCTGAGTCGGCATTATGCTGATCTTGCGCTCGGCGAACTTGCGCTTGCACTGCGCCGGCTCCACGAAGCCCACCGATAGCTTCTGTTTGACGGGACTGCGCGCGGTCTGCAGTGTACGGCCAAAGCCGACCACCGTATACTGTTGTCCAGCACGTTTTGCTTCTGGCGCCACCACCGAGGGCAGACAGACGGGCTGAATACTGTTCGAGTAGCGCACATTGCGCTCCAGACGGACCAGGCCTATGTCATGTGCCTGATTGGGCGTCTTCTCCTTGTAGAGCTCGTGTACGCGCATCTCCTCAATGCCCAAGCGCTGCGCTGCCTGCGCACAGGGTCCCCCGCCGCCGGCGGGACAGTCCACTGCACTGCGCGTATCGTGTTCGCCCAAACGCGCGGAGGCACTAAACAAATATAATAATAAAACAATATGAAAATTGAGTTAAAGCATGGGGCGCTTGCTTAGCAGGAAATCAGATATAGCTAATTGAATTTTAAAAGTGCGAACGTGCCAGCCGCTAAACACCCAAAAAGCAACCGGTCGAGTAAATTAAGAGCACAACGAATTGTTATCCACTTTGAACCCGTCCCATGCCCCAGAACCCCAGACCCCCAACCCAAACAGGCAGCCCACCCGGCGCAACATTGAATGAATCACGTTAACAAGCAGCAGCTAAACGCTTTGAATCTGGTTTGGCCAACTTAATTAATATTCTTTAAGTTAGAAAAAAAATACAATAACAAACGCAAAGTCAAGCAAAAACAACAATAGGAGACCCACTCGCAAAGTAAAAAAAAAATACATATACAAGGTGTTTAGCTGAGCTGCGGGGACTCCTCGCCCATAATTAGTTGCTGGAAAGCGTTGCTCAATTCGCAGAAATGCGTGAAATTGTTAGCGTGATTAAGCGTCCGGACTTTCGTTATACTACTACTAGGAATTAGTGAACCAGTTCTCTGGGCTGCTCTACTCACAGTGGTCCAATTTCGCGCACAATGCGCCCGACCAGGCAATGGGCAGCTGTTAGAACATAGCGCTGGTTGATAAGCGTGCCTGCACAACTAGTCGAGAGTCCGGTGCCGGCCAGGCGTCTGTACTCCAGCAGCACCATCCAGGGGAATTCGTTTAGGTCAGCATCCTCGCCGCCATATATTTTATTGTCTATGGTCACGCCGCCGCAGGTGGGCGGCTGTGGCAGCGGGCTGGCACCGTCTACCTGTTGGGGCTGGCCCTGACCCTGCAGCCGGCTGCTGTCTGCTGTCTGCTCATCAAAGCCAAAGCTCCAGGGTCGGCGATCTGCGCTGGGAAAGAGCACAGTGCTCGGCGTATTGGGTGCACGATTCCAGTCAAAATCGTAGCCCTCGCTGAGGTCACTGAAGTCCGCATAATCCCCAAAGTTGGGAGTCACACGACGACTGCGCGTATAGCCCGTGTCCCGGGTGCAGCAGACAAAAGGACGATTGTCTTGGCCCACACCACAACTGGAGGCCTTGATGAACTGCTTCTCTGTCGGCGACAGGTTCGCTTGCTGCAGCACCGAATACAATGTCTGGCACTCATTTATCTGCACACACAGGCCGGCACGCTGGTTGGGATTAATGCAACGCGCATCTGCAAAGGGAAAAGAGCGACAATCAGAAATCTGGTTTTGGGGGAAGTACCGGCCAGAACACACGCGGTCAGGCCACCAAGCCAGCGACATTCCAGCGTTTGCCCTACAATTTGTGCATACCCTAGCAGTGGTTATTGTTATTTGCTCATGAATTGTGTGACGCACAGATGGAAATGATCTCATAAACTATGAGAATTGCCGTATTCGGATCACTATATTATTAAGCTGACATAGGAACAATAGGTCAATATTTATCAATGCATGAAAATCTTTTTTTTGCCAAATATTTTGACATTTATCAGTTTTACCATGCTTTTTACACATGAGCCAAATCTTATTGACAACGAACTAGTATATAATATATCTTCAACCAAAGCTTCTCAACATCGTACTAGTATCTCATATATCTGTAATCGATGTCCCAAAATTTAAGTTCTTGTTAAGAAACTTTTGAGCTTGTGTCACAATGTTTCTGAGATATGCACAAAATCTTAAGAACTTTGGATAACTATATCACATAGCTCTATAGGAAAACCTTGTTGAATTTTTTTTAAGATGTCTTTATCAAACTGATGAATTTCGAGCTTCACTTATTGCATCAATTTGTGTAAAAAAAACGTCAGCCATTTGTGTACAAGAGTATTGAATATTTGGCGAGTGATTCTTTACAGATATTTTTTTTATTTTCTTAATCGTTATGATTAATCCTTAATATTCACAGCAACGCGGAACGATTAATTAGTGAAAGTTGCATTGAACTTGGCACGTGCTGGTTTTTTGTTTATTAGTTTTTAATTAATATTTTATTCGGCATTTTAAAAATGCGCCCAATTCTTGGGGTTTTTTCTTTAACAAAACACTTTTTAATTAGTGCCAGGGAATTTTTGGCTTGAATTTCTCACTTACAACGCGCGTTTGTATATTCCACAGCCAAAATGCACAGCAATAAGAAAATAAAATTCATTTTTTCATTAAATAGTTTACGCACTAGATAAAATTATTAAAATTTGACTATAATATATATCTGTATTTTATATATTAGCTGCCGGAACTAGACGCGTTTAGCATACGAAATTAAACTGTGCGCTGCTGGCTGGCAAGGCAAAGCTTTTATAGCCGCAGTTCGAAGCGATCGGGTTAGCTGAGAGTTAAAACAAGAACAAGCCGAGTAACTGTCCGAGTCTGAGGCTGAGTCTGAGAACCGGTGTTCAGAAAATCGAAAACATGCGGAGCATCGTTTACGGCTTAATCAGCAGCTGGAATCAAATGAGCCGCGTTTGTTGGCCAAAGTGCGCTGGACTTGTGGTCAAAACGCTTTACTATTAGTTAATTGGCCCTGGAAATATCAACAAAATTTGCTGAAGAAAAATACATATATACCACACATAATACGCATGCAAATACATGTCACTGGGTGACACCGAAAATACCAAAATGCGTCTATGCTCGGGGAAAAATATCTTTCAATTTGACAGCGAGTACAATGAACCTGATGAGAGCGCAGCTCGTGTCAATGAAATCCGCAAGCGACGTCATAATTATGACTGACAAATTTCCGGTCAATTGATTCTAAATTGCCCCGTTTCGTTTACTCATCTGGTTGCAATTTAGGAAGTTCTCAAACAAATCATTTTTTACAGATTTGCCATTTTTGTCATGCGAATACAATTTAAGCTACGAAAAGTTCAAATGTTAAAAGTTATCTGTAATCAGGGCTTCGATTTGACTTTTTGCAATGGGGATTCACACGGCTGCTTACGTTTTTTTAACAGGTGGAATATCCTAACACATCTCGAGCTTGTAACAAGTTCCTAATGCGTATTTGACATGGCACGGAAAAAAATTCCATTACAACCTATCAACTGAGTCAACATCCAAAGGCAATTGCAGGGAAATACGAATAACAAAAATCAAGCACGCTTAAGCTCATCTTAACATGCAAATAAATACATACCGTCCCCATATATTATTCCCATATCATAAATCACAAATGTACATATACATACACATAATATGAAAAACCCGTGTAAAAAGGAAATTTTTCATTTACATATTTAAATAAATGAAATTTACCGAATTTCTTGACTTCATAGCTTTGTTTAATTCACTAGTTATTCATTTAATCATGAATATAATGTTTACAATATATAAAAGGTTACAATAAAAGAAGATTAAAAGTCTCAAGTTTAGGAACTATAAAATGATCTAAAATAATAAATAAGTTAATAATAAACAAAATAAATATAAAATTCGTGTGGCAGGCCAGCCATTATTTTAGGGGAATTCCTTTTCTTTTGTGGCTAAAAGCAAAGTAACTTGTCGAATCAATTGAAATATGTTATTATTTTGTGCATTTTTTAAGACAAGCCGGCCTAATATAATTCCTAAAGTATTTTGCTATAAAAAAATGGTATTTTTCAAACATTGCATTATATATAATATTTCCAGTCTTTCCGTAGCACGAATAAAATAAATTTTCTCAAAAAGCTTTAAAAATTATTTTGACGCTGATCGAACGGTAAACATGCAAACTTTCATACAAACTTTCCGCCACTGTACCACGGTTGCGGGTGGAATTTCCCCAATCGTACGTACTCATTAAGTTCATATGTAGATCTTAGAAACTAAGTTTGAAGCTTATCGGACAAAACTTATAACTTCATCATAAAAATCTTTGAATCGCACTTTCCACCGAGGGAGCTTTGATTTTGCGAAAATTGTGAACATGTATCTAATGATTTTTCATATAGATCCTGGGATATGAATTTCAGCGCGAAACGTCACCCATCAAATCTTTGACTTCCATTTCCACCAAGGAGGGATGGATTTTCCAAAATGTGCGAAATACCCAACCGATGAATTATGACAACGATCTTTGAAAATGTTTTTGCAGACAATCGGATGGTAAACAAAAAGTTTAATACAAAACTTTTTGCGATTTTTTCACACTTGCGGGTGGAATTTCTCAAAACGCCGTCTTAACGTGCATCTTCATCCCATAAGGTAACTACAGTGAAAATTTCAGCTTCCTAGCTCTTACGGTTTGGGCTACGCGTTGATCACTAATCAGTCAGTCGATCAGGACAAACAGTTTTATGTATAGAGATATATAAAATAACTTTTCCAGATTTCATTAATACATTGATTAAATCAAACATGTTACAGTCATCCGGATCATCATTCCAATCCGGATTGACGTTCTAATATTTCTTAATCATATTTTAGTCTGAAATGCAACTATATCAAAGTTTGACTCATATACGAGGTCTCGACGACTATAAATAAAATTGCACTTGGAGGTGAGTAGAAAATGTTAGTGACTAATAAAGCTATATATATGTCAATAAAAATTTTAGGCTTCATTGCTGTTTAGCCGACTTCGAAATTATTTGGAAAACATCGTTAGCCAATTACGTAGAGCTATCTTAGCAAATGCAAGTGTAACTTTGGATGTAATTCCTAAGAACTCTGCGATTAAAGAAAGGGAAACGTTTTTTTTTCTTCTTAAAATTGGACTTAAATGTTCTTTCTCAAGCAAACCGAAATAAGTTTTGAGGGCTTACAACTCAAACTGTAAGATATGGGTCTAAAGAAAATCAGCGCCGTCCGCGCTGCCAATTAGCTTAGAAACAAAGCAATAAAACATAAGATAAGTTGTATTGCTTAACATTTGATTCATTTATTCGCCCCGCAGCGAGGACAGTTGCATGGAACCGCAAAACCCTTTAATTTCCTGTCGTTTTCCCTTTTATTTCGTTTTCAAATTGGACCGACCACGGCGGGTTACTAACAAGATCAACATGTTACGGCAGAAAGGGTTAAAATAGAGTTAAGTAAGCGCACGCGGGAAATGTCAACGCCAGATAAACGGCTGTGCCGGAAAATGTGCAGGGGAAGACCTAATTAAGCGCGCAATAATCGTAGTGCTTGCCACCACCAAGAAAAAAAGGAAAAGAAATCTCAACCTGACAGCGGTGGGATTCGAACCCACGCCCTTTCGGACTGGTGCCTAAAACCAGCGCCTTAGACCGCTCGGCCACGCTGCCATATGACGCCTCCCCAATTTCAGACATACAACTTTTACACGACCTTTTTTTCGCTAATAGAATGTTCTAAGTAGTATAAAACCCTAATCTATTTATAATTGCTTATATTATTATCGCGGTATTATATTAACCCTTACGTACGCTTACCTACATTTAAATAATTCCTAAAGCTAGCCAATTTGTATTTTGTTATGTTGAACGTAAATATTTTTTTATATAGATTATAATTTCCAATAGAATCTAGAAATTTAAATTTAAAACGAAAATTTTTTTAAATTCGTTGTGAACAATGTGTGATTTATTATAACTTTAAACACACGAGTGTTCATATAAAGTTGATTCCAATTAACATATAATATACATATAAATATTAGAAACAAATATTTGTGCATGAAAAAAGTATGCAAATTTAAAAAAAAGCCTCTTGACAGCGGTGGGATTCGAACCCACGCCCTTTCGGACTGGTGCCTAAAACCAGCGCCTTAGACCGCTCGGCCACGCTGCCTTGTTCCACCAAATGTCAAATGTGCTACTTGAAGGCACAGCACAGTACCGTCGTACAGTATAAAAATACTGGTCTAGTTTTGGGGATGATTTTCACGAGTGTTGCTGAAGTACATGTGAAAAAAGTAGTAGACAACATTGAAAAGTAGTAGCATATGGCATTTGATTTTGTTAATACCGACAATACGTTTGTACATAATACGCTAGCAGCGGCAATTAAATATTAAAATAATAATATAAACAAATAAAAAATTAAAATATAATATTAATACTTATGATTTAATTAAAAAATAAAAGCATTGATACCTTAATCAATTAAATAAATCGGATAAGAAATATATTAAAACAAAATTGTTTTCGTTTTTGGCTTTAGTAAATTAAGCCCCGGACCTCAAGCCAGCTTATTAAATATTTAAGGTTAAAGGTTGTTGTAATTGTTGTTGTTGTTGTTGTAATATTGTATTACTGTTAAGGTAAGGACCAAATTATTTACTACTATGTCCATTCTATCTAAAGCTAGTATCTTCACGATAAGCACAGTTAGTTAAGCAATCCTGAGAATATCTTGGTAAAAAAAAAACTATAAGCCCAAACAATAATAATGCCAAAACGTTTTACGACACAACATCAACATCAGTGCTATTCTAATTCATTGACAAACGCATTTTGATTTTGAGATAATGAGCAGGGCACAGGGCACAGGGGCAGGGGTCAGGGCAGGGGCCATGTTAGGCTAAGATACAGATGCAAACGCTTACACCTTCAACAGCTCTACGCCCTTTGGGTTCGACAAGTTCTGGCCGCACACCCCGTTGTTTTTGTTGTTGTTTTACGATTTGTGCATTTCGCAAATTCGCAAATGGCATTAAAAAAAGGTTGCCCTTTCTTTAGACGGTAGCATATTTTATAGCATTTTTATGACGTTATAGTTTCGTACATTTTTTTGTCGCGATTTACGAGCGTTTTATAACTTGTTTACATTAGGCAAGTGAGTAACGGTAACCCTGGGAAGCGTTTTATGCAAAAATCTATTAAAACGCTGGCGAGCTGCATAAAAATCACAATAAATGCACAACGTTTGCGACTTAAACGGTCCATAACCCGGTCACCACGGGGGTTAGGGCCTCTCGTCTTGACTTTGCCACACAGTCATACCCACCACGCTCATTCACATTCAACACATTTGACACATTTCTGTGCCTCAAATTGAGTTTGAAGTTGACGCAAGCGTTGCAAATGGTCCGTGAAAAGCGTTAAACTAACATTTCACATCAAGACTTTTTTGGACCCAGACAGCTTGCGATCTGCCAGCTGAGAAAATGTCATCTGCAAAATCGGTTCAAATTATATTGGTAATATATCTCATTCTTATCGATCAGCCAGCAGCTCAGGCTTATAAGATGGGTCGCCTAGAGTTCGTAATGGAGCATATGGCAAGAGATTTGGAAAGCCCGCGGCATAACATCAGCGTGGCGGAAAGCGAGCTAATATTAAAAGAATTTGTACGCTCCGCCCAGCACTTTGTCATTTTTAAATGATACAATTTTTGTATTTCAGTCAAATTTTGGTGCAGCTGTAAGCAAAGAGGCCAACGATAACAACCGGGAGATACATGTAGCTAATGGACAGACCTATTCCATGTACTTTGATTTCACACGGAAAAATAAAAACAAGAAGTACAAGTTTCAATTCAATAATGTGAAAGCTCCAAAAAAGCAGTAAAATGATGAAAAAGAAACAACATAACTTAACTAAAGTAAAGTAGGGTGAGGTATGCATCGCATCCAAGAAACATTCACAGTGGAAACTCATAAACTATTGAAATAAAAAAACAAATCGATATAATAATAAATTAACCATAATTAAAGCGAAACCAATTAATATTAACCGAAAGAAATGGATTTTCTGGTTAGACGAAAATAGAAAACATTTTAGAAAATTGTAAAAAGCAACTTCTCAATAGCCAAACAATGCTTCAAGCTATTTATTTGGTTCTATTAATGGGGCTTAAAGACTTAACAGAAGCACATGCCCCAAAGTCAATGGAGGAAAATATGCGAAACAAATTTGTAAGGCAAAAATAGTATTAATATAAGCAAAAATATTTTCGGAAATATTATTTTATTTCAATTTGTATACAGACCAACTTTGAGAATTTTGTGACCAACAACCGCCCAAAGAATGCATTTAAGATTCAACCAGCCGACAATGTTATCATGCGCATAGCCTACTCAAAGCCTCAGCCCAACGCCAAGCACTATGTTAACCATATCAAGAAACGAAAGAATCCCCAATACTTCATAAACCTCGACATTCAAAACCATCACAAGCCAAAGGAGCGGCAGCAGCCAAAACATTTGGCCAGAAGAAATGGAAATCCTTACAAGCATTTTCCACTTAAGGGCGAAAATATTTAAGCACTAAGTGCTAAAAATAAAATAAATTAATTATCACACAAGCAAAAACTAATTAAGTATCAAATAACAAGAATATTAAAAAAAAATAAGAAATTTAAAATGCAATTAAAAATATTTAAAAATAAAATGCATCATTTATGGAGGAATATAAAATAAAATTTAATGAATTATGCAAAATAATTTTGTTTTATTTAAAAACTTTAAGAAGTTTCCTGAACTCGTTCTTGTCCTTTAGACAGCACTACTTTAGTACTTTAGAACAAGTTGGCAATATTATCGGCGGCTTGGACAGCTGCACTGGCCACATTTTTTCCAAAGGTGGCACCGTCCGAGAGAATACTCTGAGCGGCAGAAGAATCGGCAGCCTTGACAGCAGCGCCGGCCACGTCCTTGCCAAAGGTAGCACCGTCCGAGAGAATGCCCTTGCCCAATTTGGACGCGGATTTGGCCACGTTCTTGCCAAAGGTGGCACCGTCCGAGAAAATGCCCTCACCCACACTGGCCACGTCCTTGCCAAAGGTGGCACCGTCCGAGAGAATACTCTCACCCGCACTGGCAGCGGCCTGGGCAATGCTATTGGCATCATTGTCAATAGCTGAGACAACGGAGCCGGCGGCGGACACTTGTTGGCCGGCCATGGCCACCACTAAGAACAGGAGCACTAGGAACTTCATGATACTTTTACTTTATGCGACTTTATCGACTGATGGAAACTCGAAAATGTTCACTCGTATTTATATGGAAATTGATATTGGTATAAATCGCGATATGGCTGGCATAATAAATGATCGAATCCGTATGTAAACTGAACTTAAGTTAAAGACAAAACACTTCGAGCTACTGCCGGATATTGCATAAACATAATGAAAATAAAATATAAAAAATATATATATAGATAAATCAAAAAAATTATCTAAATAAGTCTGCCAAATAAATAATATGTGCCATGCACTTGAAGCGGACTTTGCCCAGCGCGCATATTAAAGTCAGTTTGTGTTTATTTGCCTTTGACTTGCGTCTATGATTCAGGTCAATATAACTTAAAATATTGCTTAAGAACATAGAATATGTATATTTTCTTTATAAATATTTGAGACTTAAGAGCTTTATAATAATATGATCATAATTTTTTTCTGTTTTCAATATGATCATAAAAGACACAGTTTTTTGGATACTTATATCTATGGGGTAACTGTATGAAAGTATAATTTCATTCATAAGGATTAAATGTATATCTATAAACATAAACTGAAACAAAAGCTTGAGGATAGGCTAGTTAAAACCCCCTTGACTGCACTTGAATACTATAACCAATACTATAGCCAACCCCAACATATTGTCTTATATTATGACATTTAGCATAGTATAAAACCACTCCAAACATGGTGTCTTGCATACATATTACGAATACAATACCCCTATTTTCGAGTGATCAATGTGCAGGAAACAAACATTAACTTTAATTTGATTCAGAAATGGATTGTTCATTCATCATGCCTCAGACAATTTAAGAATTTGGCAAACATATGTAAGCAGAAACTGTCACTTGGCACTCGATTTGAAGTTTAATAAAAAATAGGTGCCATTTGACATAATAGAGTTAATCAAAAGCTAAGCCACAATCTGTAACATACAGTTAATAGTGCTGCTACTCTTAGTTGTTAAAGTAGACGCCAAAGTTGATATGCTCGCTACTGCGTATTGGGTATTTTTTAGTCAACCTCCAGTATTCTATTCCGTTTATGAGATATTCATTTTTACAATAACAATCGTCATCAAAGAGTCTATGAATCCAAATATGTCCCAAAATTGATGACACACAAAATACCAGTATATACATATATATTCTACTTAGTCTATTTTAAGGTAAGCTCGATAAAAATTTTCCCCGACTATTTGCATTTCTTGGTTAATACACGGCTAATGGGGAATTTTTTATATTATGTACATCTTTCAAATAACCATAAATATATATATATTTGATTATATGACATTTTTGGTAATTAATGGGAACATGCAAGCAAATTATGATTAGAAAATTTTTATTCAATGGGTCGACCATACGTCTTGCTCTAGATAAACACCAGGCAACATTTAAATATGGTGGTATACAAAAATTTCGTAGATAAGTTGGCAGACAGTGTTAAGCGATAAGCATATCGCAATTTATCGAGTTTCAGTTGCCTATAAATGTGACTGGCAACTCGCAAATATCATTAATTGCAATTATAAATTGTGTACAAAAAATTATAAAAATCATACTGACAGTCTTGGAATGAAATTTATCGTAGCCCTTACGCTGGCGCTGGCTCTGTTGGGTCTGCAGGATGTGAGCGCCAGGTCTGTGCTGGGCGAACTCGGCCAAGCCTTTGTATGTGACGTATGCCATATATACTAACTAAACGGAGTGTAAAGTGCCATGTGATCTCATTTCTAGGGCAATTTTGGCAATCAGATTGGACAGGAAGCCTCAAACTTTGGCAATGCCGTGGGCCAGGCGGCCTCACAGTTCGGCAATGATGTGGGCCAAGCTGCAAGCAATCTGAACAGCACTGCGGTTGGACAAGACGCCTCCAATTTCGGAAACGCATTGGGCCAGGCAGCCTCGCAGTTTGGCAATGATGTTGGCCAGTCCGCCAACAATCTCGGCAACTCAGTTGGCAATGTAGGTGGCACAATTGGTTCCGATGCATCCAATGTGGCACATAATGTAGCCTCTGATGCCTCCAATCTGGCGCATAATGTAACCTCTGATGCTTCCAATGTGGCTCACAGCGTGGCGAATTCGGCCTCTAAGATTGCAAGTTCAGCTTCTAATGCTGCACACGATGTAGCATCCGATGCTTCCAGTGCGGCTCAGAGCGTTGCCAATTCTGCTTCCAATGCCGCTAACAGCGTGGCAAACTCTGCTACCAATGCTGCTCATAACGTGGCATCTGATGCTTCCAGTGCAGCACATAACGTGGCAAGTTCTGCATCCAATGCTGCTAACAACGTGGCAAATTCTGCTTCCAGTGCAGCTAATAGCGTTGCAAGCTCTGCTTCCAATGGTGCTGACAACGTGGCAAGTGCCGCTTCCAATGCTGCTAACAGCGTGGCAAGCTCTGCTACTAATGCTGCTCATAACGTGGCATCTGATGCTTCCAGTGCAGCACATAACGTAGCATCCGATGCTACCGGTGCAGCTCAAAACGTTGCCAATTCTGCTTCCAATGCTGCTCATAACGTTGCAAGTTCTGCATCCAATGCTGCTAACAGCGTTGCAAATTCTGCTTCCAGTGCAGCTAACAACGTTGCAAGCTCCGCTTCCAATGCTGCTCACAATGTGGCAAGTGCGGCTTCCAATGCTGCCAACAGCGTGGCAAGCTCTGCTACCAATGCTGCTCATAACGTAGCATCTGATGCTGCCAGTGCAGCTCATAACGTAGCATCCGATGCTTCCAATACCGCTAATAATGGAGCAAATTCAGCTTCCAATGTAGGAAATAATGTTGCTTCCGATGCTGCCAACGCTGTTACCAACATCGCCTCAGATGCCGCGGGTGCTGCTGTTAGCATTGTAGGCGATGCCACACATGTGGCTGAGGGCGTGGCTGATGGCGCTCTAAATGTTGCCAACAGTGTGGTCAATGGAATTGCCCACTTATTTTAGTGGACTTCTATATCAATTGTAAACACTGTACTACACACATATTAACGCGTATCCTCATAATTGAAAATAAAACTATTATTGCGAGCACTTAATTGATTAATTTTTTATTATTTAACTGGGCACCAAATGCAACCGATTTGTAATAGGGACAATGTTCATTTTGTGGGTCGATTAGAATTTCGGGCACGCGAAATTACTGGAAACAAAAGAAAGCCCGATTGGTTCCTATACTCTGTTCACACGTTAAAAAAGATTATATTCATTTTGTGCAAGGTTTGTCTTTCTGTCCTTCTATTAAGACTTGGGACTTTAAATACATATACTGATCAATATGTAGACTAGTGTATAAATGTTGCGGGTAAAATATTAGGGGTATATCTTCTATATCCTCCAGTCCAAAGTCTATATCTTCCACAGTTGTTGATTAAGAGACACTAAATATATGAACTAATTAACTGAAGGCCTTACCTAAAGATAGAGTCACTCCCAATATGACCTGACGGGATTATAATTTTAGAGCCCCTTATGCCATAACAAAGACTCTTCTCCAGTTGTCCTGAGCTGTTTTTACACGATTAACAGAGTATTGCGCAGTCGAATGCACCTGCCTGCGAAGTTCTAGTTACATAAAAATATTAAATTATTATTCAATATTGAAAACAAAAACCATAGACCAAATGCAATTTAGCGCCGTCTGATAACAATTTTGGACATCAATCAGTGCATACCGCCGATTCCGACATGAGTTATTGGCCACTTGAGCGTAACCAGGGGAGTTACAGTAATTTTTACTGCGTCTTTGATTTTGGCTTCATATAGATAAGATCCATTGCCTGTTGCTATATAAATAAAGTGGTTCGCGCTAAAAGTCAAATAGTAAACAAGTGAAAACCAACAATCAGAATGCAAGTCATAATTGTTGCACTCTTGGCCAGCCTTTTGGTGGCTCAACAAGTCCAAGCTGGCACCATGACCTTTGGTGACCTCATGAGCGACGTCTCCCAGGTGTCAGTCGCCGGCGAGAAAACAATCCATCATCTGGAGAATCAGCTAGATGCTGCCCAGCCAGATGCAGAGTATGCGGAGGCCGCTACTCAAAACCTGCTAAGTGATATGGCTAATGGCTTGGGTGATCTAGCCGTAAGTATAGGCCCCTTGCAGAGGGATACATAGAGAAAGATATTTCCAATACCGTAAACTATATATTTCTCTTAACTGATCAAGAGTTGAGTCCTTTTCTTTGTTTTTTATATGCAAGCCAGTCTCTCAGCTTAAAGCTATCTTGATTTCGGAATCGAACAGATCGAGCTACTATATCATATAGCAGCCATAGGCAGCATCACTTAAAAGGAGAGTCTTAATATATATCTATTTTTATTTTTTTTAAGACAGCTTCATTAAACCCAATAATTAAGAGAATTACTATTTGGGTCACGTATGAGTAAAGTCTTTTTGAGCACCGGATAAGAATACTAATCTTATGGATTATTCCTATAGAGGATGAATCGGTTACAACTCATTGAAAAATTTTTTTATGTTTGCCCGAAAGTAACTTTTATTTCTTTATTCTAATAACAATTTTTGCTAGAATGCCCTGGCCAGTTTCAGAGTTCAGAGAGATTATGTTCAGCCACAGCCGAAAAATCTTATTGGCAGTCTTATGGGTGATATGGGCGATACTCTCGGGCATTTGGCAGTAAGTCGCAAATAGTTAAGACTTACAAGAGGTCCACTAAACCTTTCTCAATCAATAGAACACCATTACCAGGCTCAGCGTGGAAATTCAGGCAGCGCCCAAGTCTCGCAGTGTTTCAGTAAGTAACTTGAATTAAACTAAACCTTTATCTTAAAATAACATTTGAAATACATTTTTAACTATTCCAAAGTCCTCTGGTGCTACAGTTATTGGTGAGATGGGCGTAAGTATTTGCCTTGTTTTCAACTAAAAGCATGTTATTCTATCCTGAACCCATTAAATATTGATAAAAAGGATTTAATGGTTTTGTGCAAATGTATGTAAATGTATGCTAAGTATTTATATTCTTGGTTAGAATTAATAGCCGAGTCGATCAAGCAATGCTCGTCTGTTTGTCCGTTCGTCCGTCCGCTAATCTCAGAGCCTACTAGAGCTACAGACCTTAGTCGACCTTAGCTCCTTCTTCTTCCGATAATCGATAACTTTTCCGGTTTTTACGCAATCAAAAAGAATCGATATTAAAATGATGTTTTTTTGCTTCCCAAAATAGAATATACAGGTCAAGTATCTTTCATTTTATAGCTACCGCCACCAAGAAGATTCAGGGTATCCCCTAGTCGGGCACTCTCGACAAGAGTACCTTTTGCTTCTTCATATTATACTTTTCTAATTTCTTGCTAATTTTTAGGGTGTCAGCGCCAAGACTATCGCATCTGCTGCCCAGGCAGCTGCTCCATATGTAAAGAAATTGAATGCTGCTTTGGGAGATCTGGCCGTAGGTTTGACTCGAATTTCAATCGAAATTTTACTAATTCGAACCATTACAGAATGCCCTCACCAATCTATAAATGCACTTTTAATAAATCTATATTTACGGATATATGTACATATTCAATCAGTTTTTAATTTGAATTAAGCGAGTTTATCAGCAACTTTAACATCAATTAGTGAAAAGCATGTTGTGCCTGTTGTTTTGAAATCTAAGAACTGTAAACAAGGTCAATAAATATACGTTCGAGTTCCAGATGTTGTTGCCAGTTCGTGTTGTTGTTGTTGCTTGATCTACTTGTAGCATGGAAAGGGGTCAAATGATACGTGAATCAAAATTGAAACACGTGATTCCCTGCAACATTAGGGGATCAAATTACCCGAAAACCACCAGCACCACCAGCATCGCCAGCGCCAGCACCATATAAGCATCCTAAAGGTAAAACCAAGCCGACACATAACTACACTACCAAGCAAAAATGTCGAAGTTTTAATGCCAGAGTTATAAAATATTCACTTAAGCTTCGTGCTAAGTATGCTGACGGTTAGCCCCAGTATGGCAAGCATCCAATTAATACCGAATATGGTCTGAAAAAACAGTTTTAAACACATTTTCTAAGATATATAAGATATTAATCGAATTGGTTTTTGATTTGATCAAACTTAGTATATACAGTATAACAGCAGAATATACAGTATATAGTGTATACATATATGTAGAGCAGGACCTTTTATTAAAGCAGCTGCATATATGACATAGTAGTTCATTTTGTAGAGAATATAATTTTAGACTGGCAGCTGCATATAGGATATTGTAAGAGGCAAACATTATGCCAATTTTTCTCAATATTTGGGGAACGCATTCGATAAAAACAAATTCTTCCTAATATAGTTAAAAGTGGTTAAGAAAGAAAACGCTATGTAAGAATTATATATGATCATATTCGGTACAACTTTAGAGAACACACTTAGCTTGTCTTTATTATCGGGTGTATATAAACTTTATAAGTTTGAAGATAGCTACTTCTAGGCAGACGATAAATTAGTTATGCCGTTTGCAAGAGTATTAAAAGCAGCGCCATGATCTTTGCCCGATCTTCGCTATACACATGTCTTTTTTTTAATAATTTTATTACTACGAAGCAGTTTGCAGGGCTTTGCTTTTGACAGTTGCTCAGCTGTCGGTGCTTTCGGATGCTCCTGCTTCGGAAATTGGGTCATTTGAAGGGGTGAGTCGTCTATAGAGACTAAAGACGACAAGCGGAAGACATACATACACGCTGCATGAATACACATACTTTTGTGCATAAGTGTGCGACTGCCTTTTGTCGGTGGCTGTTGCTGTTATTAAATCGCTTTATTGAGCGGCAAATTTCATTTGTTTTGGCAACAGGAAAAATGGGCATTTACGTCCACCAAATGCACGATGTTCCAAAAGTCGTGCACGTCACAAAACTATAATTATGTACAATTTTAACAAACATTTTGTTAATTAATTTCGGCAGCCCAAGCAAACCCTTTTGTGTGCACGCCCTCACACAAGTCAGAGTCTGATATTTATGGACTATTTACATATATATAATTTGATAACAATTAAAATGCACAACCCAACGCAGCTACTAGGCACGACTTGACAGTGCGTGTGACCAAGAAATTATGACGAGTTTTTTATACATACGCATTTCAAATAATAGATCATTACAGAAAAAATAAAATAATTAAGTGTGACATTGGGGCAGCAACAAGTTCATGCGTCGGCGTGATTAAGGCCCATTTATTGGTCGGCTTGACAGCCGTAGACCTGTTAATATGGCATTAACTTTACGAGTACGAGAAACCCGTTTTGTGGGTGTTATTAAATGAACAAATTAAGTACATTTCGAGATTGAGTCGGTCAACTATTCGCCTAGCAAACGCACAGGAGGGCAGACAAAATAAAAAGTGGCAAACAGTGTTGGAAACCGGTTAGCAGACGTTTCTATGTTAGTGGTCAAGGTCTAAGGAGCAGCAGACAATCGGACAGCGGACAACAAGGCAAAAAAAAGAAGAACAACAACAGACAACAGAATGCAGTCAAAGCGGAATAAACAATAACATTATACAGAACAGCAGAACCAATTCAGAAATAAATGCGAAAAAGTAGAGACAAAGAGAACATCGAGAATTGCATAAATATTGATGTTATATCTATGTACATCACTACATATTTATATATGTGTGTGTGTATGCATGCGTGTATGTACATATACGTATCTACTTGCCATTTGCATCTGTGTGCGGGATCAGCTAAATATAGAGTTGGAAAATTATTAGGGTGACTCAGTTACCGAAAAAAATTATTTTATTAAACATAAAAAATGCCGAACCGTGTAAAAACTAAACCTATTTTCATTCTGTAAGTATTTTGAGTCTAGCTTTCTGCATAAACAAATTTTCAATTTTATTTAATCAAAGAAATTTGAGTTATTTGCGAAAGCAATAATATATATAGTATATATATTTATTGTTTCAGTTTTTGGCAGTCGTTTATGGTTTCTACGTTTAAATGTTTTCTGCATCTAAAATTTTAAATTCTTTATTTTAAAACTGTCCATTTTTTTTGAGATTATTAATATATATTTTTAAATTTTAGAATCAACCATTTAAGGTTTAAATCATAATAATTAAAAAAAGGGCATTCTTATTAACTAATTTTGTTTTAAGAACCCTACTAAAAATTACCTTAATTTTGAACTTTTCTAAATCCCCAAAAAAATGTGACTTCTATATCTTTGATCTGTCATAGCTTGGCCAAACCTAACCGGATTTTCCTGATAAATATAGTTTTGGACATGACCTGGAATCTATATCATCATGTTTATGACTTTCAAGTTTTTCCAAAAAAATATATATATCAAAACATGTAAATACTTTATGTGTCACTGGATTACAATCTTGTGAAAATTTATATTATAGTACATCTTTTTTATTTGTTAAAACTTCATTAATAGATACCTAAAAAACGGATGGACTTGGAATCATTTCATTTGATTTAAATTTGTTCATATAAAAAATGGGAAAGGCTCGATCAGTCTTGATAAACATTTTTTTCTACGCCTAAAAGTTATTTAAAAAAAATATTTTTTAATAAATTGACTAACCCTTATGGCAGCATGCATCATGCAACAGCAACGTGATTGCAGTGCAGCAAAAAGTTGCATGCAATAAATAGTGTGCACGTATGTGTAACTGTGTTTGAGGGGCAATTGCGAGTGTGTTTGTGTGCCAAAAGGGTTGCCAAACCACTTGCCTTATGTACAAAATGGAAATAAATAAAAATAAAAGCGAGCAGCGAAAATCCCTATAATGAAATTTAAGCAATGAGAATACATAAGAAATACGACGGCTTTTCGCATGTTGAACTAAAAACCGGTTTTTATTGATTACGTCTCACTTCAATGCAACTCCCCTCCATCACCCACCCGTGCGCTCAAAAAGAAGTCAAAGGTTGCCTTATCTTATCGAGAGACCACGACTTGTCCAACTGCCTGGAACTTGGGCACTTGACCAGCACTTGGACTCGAACCGAGTCTGTCAAATTGTGGCGCGAATCGTCTATTCACATCGCTGAGAAACTGCAGTATTAATCGTCACAAAATTTCAGCTGTCAACTGTCAGTTTAAAACGGGCCCGTAATAAAACTTGCTGTATGCAGCCACACTTAACACGCACAACAACAACAACAGCTTCATTAAAATTAATTAATGCCTGGTCACACACACACACACATACACACGCCAAGGACCAGGGAGCCAACCGCGACAATAGGTGTCAAGGAAGGGGTCGCCATCATTAGGCGCATATCAGTTTTTCGGGTTTTTCTCTTTTATTTTATTTAGTTTTTTTTTTGGAACAACCGAAAAAATATGCACAAATTAAATTAAATGAAGTGAGTGTGAAAATGTTGGGTGTGGGCAAAGAAACAACTGAAAAGCCGCACAGAGCCAAACATTAAACACCCGAACACAAGGGGGGAGCGCAGGGCGCAAAGGAAATACGCTCAAGTGATTTTCATACCAAGCCGCCTGTCAACTTGTTGTTGTTGCGGCTGTTGATGTAAAATCAAGATAAGCAAATTGTTGCCGAAAAATGTTGCTACAAAGGAAGCGATTTGGACGTTTTAATGATGATAGAGCATGACACAGAATAAATGGAAAATAAAATCCATTTACATTGTACATCCAAATAAATACGACCAAAAAAATACCAAAATAAAAAATACAGCGTTTTCTCAGAGTTCTAAAAATGTAGTACTGGAAAATGACATGTCAATATATTACAGCTATTTAAAATGTATGAATTCATAGCCTGTTCTCAAGAGTTCTTAACTTAAATCACATAAACACTTATTAGTTAGGCCTTTTTTTTTGTTTTTTTATTGTATAAAGAAGCTCCCTTTGTTTGGTAAATTGTTCGTGCGTGAAATTTGTTGGAAACTCATTCTTGGTTAATTGTTATTATTTTTTTTTTGGGAAATGATCTTCTTTGCCAATCATAAAATTAGTTAAGATCCGACTCTGAATACAACTCTTAATGTAGGTAATTAAATTTTTATCGTCTATATATGTGCATCTTTATAAAAAAAAAAAAATTTTGTTCTAGCTAAATATTTAAAAATATATATCTAGAAAGAAATTCTAACAGTACTACAAGTATTCGCTAAGTTTTTCAATGTGTATGGCATACAGTATATTATTTTGTTTATAAAATAAGTAATATTTTATACACTCCATATTTAGCTCCGACAAGGCATACTAGAGCCTCTGCACCAGCTGACCCTCTGGTCAGTCTGGCTCAAATTAAATAAAGTTTACCCTTTTATATTATAAATTTGCCCTTGAAGTTGAACTTGAATTGGAATGCAAACATATGTACATATATGAGACAACACACGAATGCAGCACATGCCACTGATGTTGCCTGTCATAAGCAAGAGTTTCGATAATTATTATAATTCGGCTGTTTTTTATTATTTTTTTTTTTTGCCTGTCAAATTTTCGTTGTCATAAAAATGAACAACAAAATAAAAATAAACTTAAAGTGTGTGCAAATGGTGCTATGCATATATATATATTTGTGTTTAT